ACGTGCTTTTAAGAAAACGATCCTTTTCTAATTTATGCTCTAATTAATCCAGCTAAAATGAAACAATCAGTGCTACAAAAATGCATTTGGTAAAATCAAGTAAGATATAATTTGAAATAGCAGCCCCAATGAAGTGGAAGTAGCAAAATGGGAGAAGTACAACTGTAGGCAAACATCGCCATCATCTGGATACTACGCTAAATATCAAGCATGAGAAACAAAAATGATTGATGTTGTTTGACAGACATCTTGTGCTGCATAGTAAGCTATATATCATATGGTTAGTTTCAGGGTTTAATTGCTAAGTCTATCAGCGCCTGTTCGCCTTTTTTTACTTTAAGGATTGATGATGAAAAACAATGCTCATTAAAGTATACGGTTCGATTCTTCGTCCTCACCATGAGTAATAAAAAGGAAATTATAAACAAACGTATCGGACACAGTTGATTCTCTCTCTTCATAGGGACTTCTGAGACAGTTTCGACGGCCTAGATATTCTTCATCACATTTGTGGTGTATGAAGGACGGTTAAATTCACTGGCTACGACTGCCACGAACGTTTATCTTCAGGAGATTTTCCGAAAGGTTTACTTCCTGTTTGAATTGCCTTACATCAGATCATGTGATCAACTGAGTAGCACACACACTATTAGCGTTTCCACCAGCACTTAGATTATAACTACATTTTCGGTAAATTAAGGTCCTAATATAGAGCTAGTGTAAGTCCCTGTGTCCAGCGACAGGGTTATGAGCGAATATAAGAGAGCATTAAATAACGAACCTTGAAGGGATGTGTACAACACGGACTACACGACCGAAACATTCAAACCGATTCTCCAGTTAAGTATCCATATTACACTCCAACCCAGATTACTGCTTTTAGTAAGCCTGGCAAACGAGGAAAAACTACGACAAAAGGCCACCCTAAACTCTCCGTAACACCGCCTGTTTAGGGAAATGAGAACAATGGCGATACATGTATCACATGCCCATAGCTGCTTAAAACCGGCGACTCAGAATCCAAATGCAATTTTTTTAACGTCTGGTTCCACTGAAAACAGTCATACCAATTCTCATTAGCATACGCAATTTATGTAACATAGCCGCAACCATATACTCGGATATGGTAGTCACCTTGCACACAAATACCACTTTATCGGTACGACGCGTCCTACCAATGGTGTTTGTACACAGAGTGTCCTGGATCGCAGACATACAGATCTGAATGTCCTCGACACCGACTCCGTCGATCAATTAAACCGGGAAATTTCAGATGCGGATCACTCATCAAATCCAGTGACGGTTGGTGAGCTGGCAAATATTCGTCTAACTGTCAGGTTAGTACCATGTAATATGCCTCATATAAGACTTGAATGGGAAGAGAGACAAAATGTTTTAAGCTCCATGTGAACTAACGTCATCGGGTAGGTCTTCAACAAAACTAAGTTTCCCTGTCCGCAACACCGCTAATATCTCTTAAGAATGTTAAGTAAATCGATTCTGACCGACTTCGTTGAGCATTTAAGTAACCTTGGATGCGCCAACAAACAAGTCGCTGATGCTGAAAGTTTTAAATTAGTGTACAAGGGTTGTGGCTCACACTTTTGAACAATCACTGGGCGTAATTACAAAAAGAACAATTGACAGTCTGTCGCTTCACACGCTGAGATGAAGTCTAATGTTTCGACATTTACACTGAAAGTCGGAAGGAGTACTTAGTTCACAACTTGATCTTAAGTTATTTGTATCGCGAATAACATATTTGTTCATATTTCTTAGTATTTTGTGAAATAAACCTACACGTAGATTGTTTAGTTTCTTCACCACACCTAAGTATAACATGTGCAATGGATTTAAAGGAAAAGTCGGGATCATAATAATGTCAAGCGTTTTCACATCGTAATGGCCTTGATGTTGAATCTACTAAGTTATGATCAGTTCTCAATGTACATTTACCATTTGGAGAGATCCTCTTTCCGTCAAGACGCCGACCCACCATAACACACCTATCACAACTTGTTTCGCCATTGTGATTAACAATGTATCTAACATCAGGGTGAGTAGGCCCATCACAAATTACAGCTATCAGTTTAATGGCTATGTATTTGCTGAACTTAACACTTGGCAGACTCATTTCCATCAAATCTTTCAGTTCCGAAGTAGTGTTTAAAGGTATTTCGTCGAATTCTGCCGGCTAAGTGCTTCCTCCATGTATACCTATTATGAACCGTCACTAAACCTAGGGGAAAAGATGCGTCCTGATATAGACCATATCTGTTGACTGAAGCTCCTTGAAACAGAAAGTCCCTCTACTTTGATGTGCTAACTCAACATATCGAAATCAAAAGTACACAACCAAAGTTAAACATAGCGGATTATTTTCAACCCGTGTTTGTAGTGAATCCCACTGCTGATTAACTTCGATTAAGTTCTTGTGCGTGTGATCAGCATCTCTGATGCTCAGATAGCTGTTTGTCATCAAATTCATCAGTGTTACGTTGATCTGTTCTTTCCGTGTTAAAGACGTTTGTAAGCACAAGCGAGTGTCATCACATTCTATACGAAATAAATGGACGGACTCACTTTTTCACTTGCTATTATAATTCAGTCTTCTTTCATTGTTGTGGCTACCGGATGTTATCACAGTTGACAGATTCTGATTACAATTGAACTCGGTATTGACCGATGATAAAGTGATATAAATAACTGATAAAGCCAATTACCATTGATCGTGCTTTCATTAACAAGTTGGCTAAACGGGAGCGAGTTATGTGTTTTATGAATGTCGCCCTTATTCAGTTTTATGTAGATCTGTGACATCTGCATTGTTGCCCTACGTCTACGAACACTCTCACAGATTTGTGCTGAATTCATCTTAAAGGACAAACGAAGTAATTGGTGATAACGAACATGGATAAAGAGAGCATGCTACTTGCCTGAATGTCGTAAGCTATTTGTGATTTCCATCAAGCATGTTCGGACAGTTAGGTTAAACAAACAACAAAGTTTGGATATATACATCTCAGGAAGTCCCCACTGTTTTCATATTTGAACATGTAATAACGATAATTGTTCTCAACTGTTATTTAAAAATACGTTATTTTGAAGAGGATCACGAAGATGTCCGTGAAGAGAGCGACATATTCAAACGGGTTACTTTACATATATTTGTCTACACATTTCCCTCCAAATACATAAAGTAATTGGGAAAAATCAACACTTCCTCTAAATATCCAACGTTAGGAGTGAAAACTTGACTCTTTCATTTCTCCTCGTTCGCCTTTATTACCCCTTTATTGGTAGTCTGGGTGAAAATGTTGAAAATACTGGGTACTACCTCCAGATGGTACTAGGGAATACTTAGAATGATTTTTAGAGCTTTCTGCATACTGTTTTTAGTGACAGCGCAATGTGTGCAGAATTTTCGTAACTTCGCCACTTTCTTGCTATACCGTGGTAATTTGATTCTTTTTTAGCGACAAAACTTCACTACACAGACGGCTTTGAATGACTAAATTTCAAACTCTGTTGTAAGTAGATTCAAATTTAATTGATGTAAATACTCACTTGATAATAGCATACAACTTATCTAGCACTGCATTTTGGATTTTCGGCGTTATACATTAGTCGTTACACTGAATTTGGTTGGTTAAGTCAACGTCACAATCATCCTGTACATTCATAGCCGGATTAGAGTTATTTGGTCTTTAGCCTAAATTATCGATATTTAGCATTTATAAGTGTGCTTATCATCTTAAAACGGGGAAGCTATGATATATTGACGGCCTTAAGTGAGCCAATCAGAATTAAGATAATTCCTTAAATACTGCGCGACATCCGAGAATTTGTGTATCTCATCGAGAGATGTTCTCCAGTGACAGTTCTAGCCAACTGACCGAGTTGGACATTACAGTGATAAAAATTCATATTTTATTATTAACTAGATGAGAACTGAGGGTAACTGACTTTTAAAATGCTAGGGATCAATAAAAATATTTATTGAGCATCCAGAAAGTTAGTTTATAATAGTGCTTAACTAGACAAGTGAAAATCACTAGTTCCTATGGCAGATCGCTCCTGAAAAGCCTGTATTTTAACGCGTAGTCGTGATACCACATTTAGAATTCTTCCTTCCTAGCTCCTCTGAGTCACAGCCCCAAGTTTATTGAGTTTGCAAACAGAAATGTGGCAAGGCATCGGATTATAACTGAAGTCAGAATTAATTTCTTAAAACTCAAAACTCCAGTCTTGCTTTTAACACCTAGTCCTAAACTTTGGAAGGTTTCTGGAAGTGTTTTAAATGGTTTTCGGGTCATCATACAACCATAAAGAACTTATAGCTTCATGTTTTTTAAACTTTACGGGAATACAACAACTTTTCGGGTTTATTTAGGTGGTGGAACTAAACTTCAATGAAAATTTATTCTATTACATGCTCATCGCAGAAAGTTGTTCATTGCTTGATGGATGTACACATTCCACACAGTGTCTGCATAACTTAATGATTTATTATAGGTAATGAGAAGCTAGTAATGTTGTAACCACGCGTTCATGAAAATCGGACACTGATGTTTAAGTAGTAATGCCTTGGAGTATATCATGGCAACACATCGCTACACCCTATCAAATAAAACATATTTACATAGTCACTATGAATTCCTTTTAACCCTCGGTAGTAGGATTATTCCATCAATTATTGCTGTCATTATTAATAGTTTGCGATGTTTGCTATGTTGATACAACATTCTAGATACGAAATCAATTTAGTGTATGCAATTCAAGTTTGCTTGCTCCCTGCCTTTCATGTTGTTACTCTAGATAAATTTCTCTGGTTCTGGATTCATTTTCTTAAATTTAAACCACCGTTTCTTCGCTGATATTATGCGTTTTGTGTTTTAGGTTACTTTTGTAGTCGAGTTTCTATTAGCTTTGATTGCTGGGTATTTAATACCAGGATATAGAAATGTCCTAAAGAATCCTGTTCCTACTTCGTAACAAGAATGCACCTAAAACTCAGGATTCGTTTTTTAATAACAATATTTCTGGCACTATCTTTTTCAATTGCATTTATTTGGAGATTTCAAGAGCTGAAATGTACCGAGTTACTAGGAACATGGACATTTAAAAGGGAATCTGATAAGCTTAAGCCAATTTTGATTAAATCTTTTGGGTATCAATGTGACTCTCATAACATAAGTGTATTTCAAACTCAAATTAACCTATATACTAAAGTCCGTCATCAGTCAAATTCTTGTATTAACTGTCAAAGTTCCATAGTAGTTTTCACACTTTCGAAATCCTCACCTACAAGCAGATATTTGGTTCATATTATAAAGGTCTTACTGATCCCACATCATGTTATTTCAATGAACCATGCTCAACTAAGTAATATTTCAGATCTTCTGCATTCGATTTCACAAAACGAACAAATTAGGATAATAATATTCGAAAATTTCGCACTTTATACGAACTTACCACCACTACAAAAGTTACAACTCGACACTCTCTGCAAAAACTACAATATTGGGGTGATCGGGTTTCTGTTCGATGGTGAAGGTTTCACTACTGAAGGTGGCACGTGGTCTAAGGTTAGTTATCCTCATTTTTGTGATTAAATAATGCAACTGATTTATCACGCCATGCTTCTACTTATACTTCGGTATCTGGGTGTACTGGGTTCAACTAACGCAACACTAAGCATTATGTTGATGTTGAATGACTAAGGTAATTCACGAGATATTTTTATTAAACAGTTGACGTCGAGTAGCTGGCGGCCATATAAAAGTTACCCTACCTTTTCTACTATCTAAAGTTCCACTAAAAGTTTCTTTATCTGTGTTACATGCATGTTCATCAGTCCAACTACGTTACCTTAAGTCAGAATTGTGTTTAATAATCAATTTTAATGAACTACTAGGAGTGGCCAAAGTTATTGTACTTATATTGTCGTGTATAGGAGAAGCGTGCATCACTTTTCTCTATCAAAGCTCGAGTTTAAAATACCCGTTCGTCTACTAGAAAGTGATTATTAAGTACAGCGGCTCACTGTGTCATTGTAATAAAGGAGCCATAGAGTCAAACGTTGTGTGAATTGTTAGCGCTTAATCAGGGATTTTTTCATATCATTATTCATGTATTGTGTGACCGCTGAATAATTAATGCTAAACCTTATAAAGTGCACAATCTCGTTTTAGTTAGACCAACTTTTACAAAAAGCGGCTATCAACTTGTTTTCATCATAATACTTCATGTTACTGAAGAAATTGCTATTCATTTGACAAACTTTTATTATGCTATCAAATCCGGTCAGGATGCACTGTGATCCGCTTGCGAAAATTAGTCATAAGGTTCTAAAAGTAGTTATGTTTTGCAATTATACTAACTGACTTTGTCCTTGATAATTACACGGAAAGGTCTGGAATATTTCCAAATGTACATTAGTCGAAGGATAAGTTTTATTTGATTAGCTGTACTATTTTAACCAAAGTTAAGTACTGACTTTAACAATTTATACTATTTAGTCTGAACAGTTTTCAGCATTAAGCATAAATGTGAACGTTACCGGTTTAAAAGTTGCTTCTTCGTCACTTCTGTAAAATTTTTAGGAGATATGCTTCACTTAGAACTCGAAACATTTATTCAAACAAGATATTTTGTGATCTACATGAGCTATGTGCTTAGAGGGTATCAGATTTCATGAAAAGTATCCACATAAAAAATTATAGATGAATTTTCCTGAACAATCCCTTATGGCGAAACTATTACGTGGAACTTCCTAGTACCTGTTAATTTGTCTTTGTCTCTTTCTGATGTAGATTTAATATGTAAACTTATTTCAACAGTTTTTGAACTCAGCACATATTTGTGCCAACAATTCTTACTATTGACTTTATAATTATGTCTTCTTACTTTAAGATTGGTGAATTGCCACTCTACATCCATCGATTAAGAAAACCTCCACAAGGATTCTATACATCTCTGAATGCATCAATACTTAGGGTCACTCGTTCTGGTCGCATGAATCCTGACACACTTGAGATTGAAAAACAGATTAATGGAGCTGGAAACCAATCACAAACTCAAACTGTTTGTTGCATGGCAACGTTGGTTCCTTTTACGAACAACAAACAGTTCTACAGCACCATCGCATTTACTAAAACTGGGGAATATTCTAAACGAATACGAACTTATGACTCATTACCGGTTGATGTGAAGAGTTGTGCAGTAAGTTGATTTTAATGACGGGAATAAAAGTAAATAATGTTCATTACAGATTTCTAATATTTTTTCAGATTGGCAATTATAGTCATAGTATGTGCTGAGAATTATAGAAGTATAAGGTATCTTTACAAGTTTAGCATGATTTTTTTTCTTCACTCACTTCTATTGATTATTATTAAGACTCGAGGAAGACATGTTGTTTTCAATTTCACGGTCCAAAAACATTTATATAAACATTACATAGACTCATCCTATCATTAAATTCATTTTGAATCATTGGCTTTTGTTACTAAAATGCATTTCACGGATCAAATCCCATTTATTCTCATACTGAGACCTAGTTTCTAATGCTCAAATTAAGTGGAAAAAGTAAAGCAACGGTAGAGGCACGTTACGATAATTTGGAATGAATTATACTAGTGTTTGGCTGGGAATCGCTGACCCTCCATAACTGTGAGTGGGGACACAAAGATAGAACAGCTTAAGTATATACAAATGTTATCAAAAGTGACCTAAAACCGAAGTCACCACCCGTCTTGTTTTGGTTTTATTTCACCCTCTGAATCGATAGTTAAGTGTTCCAATTTTAACTTGCTTTGGATGGCTTTTATTGATGCGTTTATCGAAGTTATATGGTTTATTTTTAGTTTATTTGCAAGTATTTGTCATTTCAACTAGTACAGAATGTCTCTTGGGTTCTGATTACATTAAGCTTTATATGCTTAAGTAAATTAGGATGAAAATAGAATAATTCAATGTGAAAATCGGACTTTCTTTACGACTCAAACTGAGTACTTGTTTTTCATGTCATATATGCCTTAGTTTATTCTCAACACTTTATTTATTAATTTATTATTATGGTTTGTAACTCCATGCCACAAATTTTGAGATATATCTTTATACAACTATGTCTCAAAACTTGGGTAAATAGCTTCCAGGTCACCTTGTTGATCATATACGTATCCACTTAGCTGTTCAAAAACTTTAATTATGAAAAGAGCAAGAACAAAGATTCTAGCAGAATAGCATGAATTCATTTTATTTCGTAGGTTCTCGTCAGCTGCTTACAAACTGTGATATTTAAAAATCATAATTACATAATGGGTTTAAATTGCTTACTGAATATTGTAAATATATACCTCATGTGAAAGAATATTCTCCAACATTAATTGTGACAACAGTTCAAAAGTGGGTTAGAAACAACTGATTACATAATGAATAAAGGTTGATAGGAATATAGTGAGTAGAGTTTAGTTGAAATATTATTAATTTGATAGTTGAAAAAATAAAATAAAATCAATGACGTAGTAAATACAAAAGAAAAAAAGAAAAAAAATTTAAGGTGCAGTGAAGGAATATTTGTCACCAGGGCAAGGAAAGATTAACCACCGTCTCTTTTTGAATACATAGGTCACGTTTTTGACGCCTGATGGCAATGGCTTCAGCAAACTTCAGAAGACTGGAGTTTGGCTGCTTACTAATCACCCTAAAGGATTGTAAGGTATCTACCTGATGTCCTGTATCAAGGAGATGTTTGGTGATTGCACTGTTCAGAGTCTTTCTTTCCCTTGTTCTAAGACTTTTTGGAACATGTTCAAAAAATCTAAGATATGCTCTCCTTTCAGTTCGGCCGATGTAGCTGCTTTAGCAGGTACACGTAAGTTTCTAAATACAGTTGGCGGTAACATGAAAGGGTTGCTTGTCGATCTTTAATAGGGTTATTGAACATGTTGTTTTATAGAAGGTTAAAAGTTTAGCAGCCGGATAAGTTCTGGATAGAGCAGTGTCCAGTCTCCTGTTGATTATTTGTGCGACGTTATCACCTTTAAAGTTAAGATTTATATATACCGGTTTTTTATTGACCGTAGTTATTTCCGTCTTGTTTTCTTTGGACTTTCTATATTTGTTAATAAACTTTTGTGGATAAAAGTTGTCTTTTAGACATTTTTCTACGTTCATTAATTGTCCTTCCAGTTTGTCGGTGGTACATATCTTTTCTACCCTGTGAAATAGTGTTTTAACCAATGCCTTCTTGTAACTAATTGGACAAAAACTATTGAAATTCAGGTAGAGGCCATTCCAATTACTTTTCCTACAAACTGAACGTTGGACTGTCCCGTCTCCCCTGCGTTTTATGGTAGTTAAAATCTAAAATTGTAGGGAGATTCAATTTGTATGGAAGTACAAAAAATCTAGTTTGTATATATGTTTCACAGATATCACATTGAATTAATTAGAAAAACACTAATGTTTAACCTCTGTAGAACCTGAAAACCCAAGAGTTTGTTTAGATAACCCTAAATAAAATTTCTTTATTTTTCATATCATAAATCGTGTCTAATTCTTAGGTTCATTTTGATGATGATGTGATTACCAGTTGATTTGCTAATAATGGGGTTTCACAACTTTAATTATTTGAGATTGGAGGACACAATTTCTGCTTAGGTTTATAGTTAGGTCGAAAATGCACTCCATTCTAAAATACCAGATCGAAACGAAGAAGTTGTAGCTATAATAATAAAGTAGATTTTGTCAGATATCAATCGATAACCGAAAACGTTGATCAAAATCATGTTTACCAATGTTAAATCATAATGCTCAAAGTAGAGTAGTAAGCGGATACGATCTAAAATCAAGTGTCATCAATAGTGCAGTAGCTTGTCATCTATGGGACATTGGGAACGATATTTGCATCAAATATCGCTTAAGTAAAATCGGTTGATAATTCAATTCAAGTTTACCTTGGCTTACGAAGGTCATTTCAATTAGGTTTAAGCCAGAAATTTGATCTGCGAATAACTTATTGTTTGACTTCTAATTATCCTGGTAACAGTTTTTCATTATTTTAATCCCCATTTAATAATTATATTTTCAGTTGTGATCAAAATTCGTTTATTTTAAGTAATGTTTTGCTCTTTGTATCATCTACCTATTTCTATCATTGTCTATTTAATCCCTAACATGGTCGGTTAGAATTTTCTCGGTAATCTTAAAATGATACCGCTTTGACTCTAATTTTCTCAGTCATAATGCACAATTATAATCCCACATTTTAACAGTTTTCTCCGTTTTCTAATCGACTACGAATTCCATAATTTTAAAGTATTGTAATCGTTGTCGTTGCAATTATTAAAACTATACTACTGACGATGTTGATTTTGAAAGAAAGGAGAAAATCCGACAAATTTTAAGCGTGTTTTTGTCGATCAGAATTTTCCTGTCGTTCCTTAGAACTGTTATGAGGATTAAGGCAATTTCTAAGAAGTTGTAGGTCTATATTCCGTACTTCATTTTCACTCTTGTGTAGATCTTATGCCGGTATAAATAGCCTTACGAGTGTTTTTATTTTATATTGTAAAAAATTTCAATGTATCTTTTATTTGCTGTTGGACGAAATTTTACAAAAACATTTTGTGTCATTGCTCTAAAGGATTACTCCACAGAGTCTCACAGTGGCACGTTTCCAGTTTACCAAAGTTTGGTTTTAGAAGATGTTGGCTTATTTGATGGAATTCAACGTGTTCTTTTTGCTTTCCGTCCTGGAGGAATTTGGATGTCGTCGATGTTGCTACTTGACACTATTGTCTACCTATCAAAAGGTACTTTCCACGCTTCTCCACCATCGTCTCATCCTTTCAGTTCGCAGTTTAGTGGTATTGTCTCAAAAATGAACATATCATCATGTATGTCTGACATTGCATATTGGTTTCAATATGTTCTTTCTTTTGAAACAAATAAAACTTTAGTTCAGAATATTCTAATTGTAACTGGTTATTTTATAGATTTTCATCTCGATATTTGACGTTTTTTCATACAATGATACACTCTCTTCTACCCTCTTTGGTAAGTTACTATATTCTAGAGTCGAACAGTATAACACATGGTAATAGTTATTTTAGTGTATAATATAGTGCAAATTTTAGACATCTTTCGTCATTCGGGTCTGAAAACTAACAAAGTGATTATCCCGTTTTATCTCTCAGTTCTTCATACAGTTGGATCAATGTAAACCATTGAAGTATATTTATGTAACGATATTTTTACTGATAGTTAATTTTTGTTTGTGTTCTGGGCAATCCGTATATTCTATTTTCGTGTGTTGAAAACCAATACATAAACCAAATGTCCTAAAGGTATTCAGTAATATGTAACAGAAAGTCATGGATCATCTTCCTACGGTAAATTCGTCTCAGGATCGTTTCTGAAATATCGAAGAAGAAACACCTGATTTCAATGTGATATTCACAGAAAAAAATACATTAACATCGAAGAAGTAAGCGTCCTTAGGTATATATAGCAACATGTTGATTGTGTTAATAATCCTCTTATAGTTCTGAGAATTACGCTAGAACACTTAATAGTGTAATATCCTAACTCTGCATTGTATTTAGTATTCAGCTATGTTTAAGAATACATGAGCTGCCTGCTTCAGTCTTGGATGGTGGCAGACGTTTTGTCGTAATTTTGTATAAATTCAAAGATTTGAGTATTTGTTCGTATCTTTATGACATATGGTTTTGTCAGTTTTCTTTATGTACGGTTACAGCTTCAATTAATTATTTATATTAAGAATAGGATAGTGTGATTATTCGCGATTAAAATGACCTTTAACAGTAAAACATCGTAGCCTAGTTAATGTGAAATATAGAAACATCTTGGCCTATTTCATAACTAACAAGTTATAAACCTATAAAACCACTATTTATTTATGTTTCAGAAACTTTATGGTACTTGGTAGCAGTTAGCTTATGAAGCAAACCGAGTAATTTTCTCAACAAATTTCATTTGATTTGTAATTTTCGGCTTCAGTTTTAAAATTTCTGAATGTCTAAAGGTTCTAATAACCCTTCAGTTATATAATTTGTGGCTCGAAATATCATCTATCCATTCTACCTAATGCTACCTTAATTAACTTTGCAATTCTCTGATAACCAGTCAGAATAAGGAAACTCAATCTTACTCCGCAAATGTTAAGTTCTTCAAATAAAAGAATACGCTCGCTTACTACAGACTTGTCACATTGTAAACAACAACTTCCAACGTATCATCCACAATAGGGCACTGTGAAAACAGTCAGTCACTGTTTCCTATACAAAATATTTCCAATTGCGACAAACACCACATCGGACAAAGCGGACGCCCCCTCCACCTTCGCCTACATGAACATCAATTAGCGGTCAAACGCCATGATATCTCGTCACTTATATCAATACACGTGGATAACTACGGACACTCATTCGATTGGAAAAATGTAGAAATCTTAGACAGAGGAAACTCCAAAAACACCAGAGAATTTGTAGAAGCCTGGCACTCAGGTCAATCAGCAATCAACAAACATTGAAATCAATCCAATTTATCAACCAATCAGGAAAATCATGCATAAATATAGGAACAAAAACCAAACCAATGGGAGACACAACCAAAACAAAGAAGTAAACAATTATAAATTTAAGGTCAATCAGAACCAATCAACATCGAGGTGCACAGAACGAGCTGTGAAACACATGGAGAAATTCGAACACTTCACTTCTATCTGAAGTTTGTGCTGATGATGTCGTTCAGAAGGACGATGAAAGCTCCACGACCAAACCATCCAGCTCAGAGAACAAAACTCCACCAAAATCATCCACCTGAGCTACAAATCTCCATTTCTCTTATTTCTCTACTCCAACCAACCCATGTATTAATATTAGTCTTCGATTGAAATGTTTTTTTACTTCACCTTTCTCTGAACCTCTATTTCAAATACGCATTTTATTCCAAGTGATACAAACTTGGATAAAATCATTGTAATGCTCGATAAATTTTATATATTTTCTTGAAAAAATATGAGCATTTTCAATTTCTTCAGAGAGAATATTCTCATTAATAATTACATCTGGTCTGTTTAAATACTTTGTAATTATTCAAATCAAGTTTCCTGAGGAAAATAAATATTAATTTATTAGAAGACTAAATAGTCATATTGCCTTTGATGTTTATCTAAATATTATTGTTTAAATAATGCATCTATGACAAAAGATGTAAAGATTCTTGTTCTAGGAATTGTCTGTTGTATCTATCCTTGAATTCTTTAGGGGTTGATTCAATATAGGAACTTCGCAAGCAATATCAGTAACTAGTTCACAATTAAAATAGGTTTTCATCGGAGGAATTTTTTTTAAGAATCACCACCTACCCTGGGTTTTCTGCCTAACTTTTCCTCGTGGCGTTTTTCCCCTACAGAATAATATAGTTATATTCATTTTAAATTAGTCTTTGTTCCATATCACATCGCCATTTACATCATAGTTGGACAGTGAATGTTTACGTATGTGCAAAAGATATATATCTCAATGAGTTAACTGTTCAGAGATATAATACTTTACGCTTTTATATAACTCAACTGTACATTTGTTCCTTTTGATTTTGTTTCCTCATAATTATTATTAACTTTTATTTTTATCCAAGCTTTAAATGAACTTGATTTACTGCGGTGGGTTCTAGTTGATATTGATGATGTGTTTGTTCCAGATCGAAATGTGCATCAGTCAGTTGATGACATAAATGTAAGTTGTTTTTTACGAAGAAAAAAAACCAGACTTTCTTTTAGTTTATATCCAAGTAATTCCTAAAAGAACTTCATTAATTATATGATATTACTTTGGAGTTGCCCCTAATGTAATGTCCGGGAACAAGACTGATCTATCGAGGTTGTGACTTGGAACTGAATTCTGTTTACTGCCACTGGCGCGACCATTTGCTGTGACTGTGGAATAAATGCTACTTATTACAAAGGAACGAGACTACCTTGTTGACTCAAGAGAGAAAACAAGACTGTAGATGTAAACTAATTTATTCACCACCCACCTATTAAATAGCCCCCAAATGCCATGGTACAGCCGAATGTTTAACTAACTTGTACTTAATACTGAGATCCCGAATCCGACGTTGCATAATAAGAACACAAAGACTGGTTATATGGATTTATTTGACACACCTTTCTTATATGATTTCTTTGCAGTCGGATTTGCATAATTTGGAGTGAGTAGTACTTATCATCAAATAATCAATAACGTACTGTGTGAACACATTTAAAATATTATACAGTAAAACATCTAACATCAAACTGTGTTACCAATTTCTCTTCGGATTCTCATGAATGTAACTCTCAAATATTTTGCATATTAACAATCAGTGAGTCATGGTCCACGTTGCACCTGACGAAAATGTGTGTATGTTTAATTTGCTCAATTCACATTGTTCTAACAACAGAGAAAATCATGATAATTGCCCCAAATGCCCAGGTTTGGCCGAGAGTGGAGTTGGCTCGCCCTCCCTCTCGAAATTCTCTCACATGGCCACGCGTATACAGCCTCTGTCAGGGAAGTCCTACTCACCGCCTTCTCGTGGCATTAGTGTTGTTTACGAAAATGAGAAGACAAAAAGCGAATGTCCGGTGCTTTAACCGGATCCCAAACCAAACCAATGATGCACATGGGCTCCAGTATCCTGCGGGAACAAATGGCGTATGAACCAATTGTTGGTCACCGGCTTCCATGGGAATGCATCTCCTTACGATGCTCCACTGCCTTGTGGATCAGACCTTCAGGTCGAAGGCTCGGGGTGTGGCCCCCTAAGAAAACCACCTGCTTCGGTTTGGACACCCGGGCAGTATCACAGCCCTTACACATATCGAAGGAGATTTGTGTGGCGCATATGTATTTGGTGCCTCCTTGTACCAATGTCTATGTGTTAAAATAAATAAATAAATAAAATAACTGACAAAGTTATGTAATTGCTGTTTCTCAAAGTATGATTACACGTGACGGACGATTGGGAAAAATCAATTTCATACGTCATTCGCACCCCAATCGGTTAAGTCATTGCTTGTTACATCAGAGCATTAATTTAGTAACCTAGAGATCATTCGTGTTTACCCTCTTTCATTGCCATCTTTAAGTTATTCTAAATACTAATTTATTGCTTATCTTATAGAATGGTGTGTTTGGGTTCTTAAAAAAGGCACTATACTTTATTCTATTTACGAGTATTGTATGCAAATAAATTGATTTACTATATTTGCAACCAATTATTCTTATGTGTCTATTCTAAAAGGCTATGATCAAAGCGCAAAATTACTGGCGCACTTTTATACCAGGATTTACATTTAATCTGGGATTCTGTGGTGCATTTCTCAGTAAATCACGTTGGGCAGATAAAATTGTTTACAATTACATTTTACGTAAGTATATTTATTTTGTCTCAATTATCTTGAAAAATTGCATTCATTCTGGTCAAAATGGATTACTCCATTCCATCTTACATTCCTACTCTTTCATAATACTGACTAGATCCCTCAAATTTTTTAGGTTTTTCTTTCATATTTCGTCAAAAGAGCCTTTATATACTTCGCTCTAAATAATTGATATTAATCCTGATATGATGAGTAAGTTTTTGAGATAGTATTTGATTACCTAAGTAATTCAGAAATTGACAACACGTTAGTTCAGAAATGTTTGCTTCTGGACATACTATTAGTGTTTGCGTTAAACGTTTATAAAACGCATACTTTAAATTAGATTAGAAACAATTTTTTAGTCTACCAATGTATTCTCTGTCAAACTATTCGAGTCATCAATTTTCTCTTGAATGATCAGACCGTCGGTAAACTATGATAAGGATGTAAGATCTAAAGTTTTATCTTGGTTTTTACTGTATGGACCAGCTCATATATTTCACTTCATTTCCAACGCTTGAGGTGTGACATATACAGTGGTGACTTTCAATTTCGGAATACTCATCCTGCACTTACTCCTACGTTCGCCAAAGGGAAGCAAATATGATTGGTCTGATTCTCTTTAGTGTGGTCCAGTAAGACCCATGTAGATTTGTGTATGCCTTTATGGAAGAATATTGTGCCGCCTATAACCATTTTGTTGAATAGACATAGATTTGCAAATCTCATTATTCTCGTCTCTTTCTCCTAGTCCATGTCGTCCCATGATATCTTCATATCCGGTGTTTTCTATTCCGACTTTGGCGTTTAGATCTCCCACCAGGGTGATTAGATCCTTTCCTGAGCACTTCGCCATGATCGACTGAAGCCTCGTAAAACGGATCTTTATCGTCGTCGCTGCTATCATTTGTGGGTGCATAACACTGGATAACATTCATTGTGATCCCCTCCTTCTTTGTTTTGAATGGTGCTTTGATGATCCTGGAATGATGATATTCCCATCCTATGAGTGCTTTACGTGCTTCTTTGGACAGCATCAGAGCAACTCCGTGTGTGGAGCGTTTTGTTCTTGGTGACCAGAGTACAATAACACTTCTCTCAAAGCTAATCTTTTCTATCCAGCATGGGTCCAATGGGTTTCACTTATTCCGAGAACCACCAAGTTGTGTCTCTTCATTTCTGTGGCTGTTTGATTGGTCCTTCCGGTCTCCAAGATTGTCCGGACATCCCATGTATCTATATTAATTGTCTCTTGGTCGTTAGGAGAGATATCGGTCTCGTGAATTCAGAGGAATATCGGCTTTCACCATGAGACGTCATAATTCTCCTAAATGAAGATTCTCCAACTGCCAGGATAGATTTCAAATGGTTTGAATTATTTTTCTGGTTAGAGTGTTCTAGTAACGTTGTTTTCTATGGAGCGGGGTGGCTGACCCCATGCCAGACCCTCCTACTTTACTCGGGCTTGGGACCGGGAGTAACCCTTTAAGATCTACAGGCGGAGTTTTTTAATGGTAGCCTAAATGAAATTAGTCCGTGATGTCATTATTTTAAAATAAAAAAGTTTACAACTTTTTCATCCTGCTAACTTCTATTATATTTTAATAGTGGATCAGTTAATGTTCATATTCATCTCTCAAAAGTTTTTTCAGAATTTTACCTGATTTTTACTAAAAATCGACTAATTTTGCATTTTCTTTTCACGTTGAGATCTTTCATTCTTCAAGATTTATTTATTTTTAGAAAAAGTGCATGAACCTTAATCATCTAGATTAACAATAAAACTCATTTGAAGAAACCAAACTTTAAGATCAACGATATTAGCAACAATGCGATTTCTTTGTATTTTAAATGTGACTACTTTTTTTCCGCCAGAAAATCGCCATAAATTTTGGTGGTTTAGTCATTTATGGCATCATGGTAGACCCCATATGATGAATAAAACATTTATTCAACAAGATATAGAACGCAATCAAGTATTCGCCAAGGTAAGAAATGGGATCATTTGAATTTTTAATGACAAAACCAATAACCTTAGCTATAAACTTGTATTCATAATAAATTGACGTAAAATTAGTAAGCAATGTGCAAATATTTCATATTAGAAATGTGCTTTTCAAAACTCACACTTTTAATGACGAATTCGTCGTCGTGAGATCACAAACAGAGTTAGAAATCTTTATTGATGAATAACTTAAAATACGAGCTAAATAACCGTTCGATATCTTTTTGTCGTGTTATTTATATAGTTCTATAATAGTCCTAAAACTGGTTTAAGAGTACCATTTTACTCGTTTGCTCCATCGACTTGAGTTAGTTATTTTAATCTTGCCCCATATACCACTTTGTAACATTCAGCTAATGTCACGCAATATATGTGATATGTGACCCGCTTATAAATTTACTCTTGGTCACTAAGTTTTATGTTCATTATCGCTAATTATTACAGCTTCATGGTTTTTAATGAAATACGGTTGGTCTTTTCCAATGGTTCATTTTAGGAACATGATATTCCAGTTCAAATTGGTTATTCTGTTGCGCCTCGTCATTCTGGAGTTTATCCTGTATATCCTGACCTTTATGAAGCATGGCGTACTGTGTCAAATGTAAATGTTACATCTACGATACATTATCCTTATGGCAGATCATCTGATTTTCGTTTGGGTTTCCGTTACAATAATATTCAGGTAACATTTCTTGAGAAGTCGATGTAATGTACTCATGTTTTTGATTGTTACAAAATATTCTTCTATACTGTTCAGATATATCAGTTTCTGCTGTATATACGGTGGGTAGAAGTTTGTACAATTAAATAACTATATTGAGATTTATATACTAAACTCCTATTCAGAATAAGAATGCGTGTTAGTTGGAAATAAAATATATGGTTTGTTCGGCTGTTTAAATCTGTGAATTCATTAGTTCATCTGTTTTTTATGTGGTTTGAGAAGTTGATTTTTAGCCATAATATTTCAGGTTAGAATTTCGGTTTGTCAGCAAGTTAATATTTCTAACAATCGAATAACAAGCGTAACTCAAAGTTTCTTTTTTAATGAACCTATGTTCAGTATCTAATTCGCACCAAACATATTATTAACTCAATAAATGTTCACAAACGTTAATCAGTCTGCAGCTTCAAGAATAATTAAAGAATCTAACTAATTTAGAACGTGTACACCCAATATATTCAGTGGAATTTAGAGCGAATGGTCGGGCTACCTGTTTGAGGGTACGACAGGTTAATACTTGCTGAATATTATATTGTCTTAATTGACGATTGTAAATATACGGATATCATATCGGTAATAATTTAAACTTCTATGTTAAGTTTCGAGTCACATTTATCATAGAGGAATTAACAATTCCATCTCGTTCCTTAGGCTGATTGACGGTTACCGCTCGGTCACTCTATTAAATCTTGAGGGCCCACAAGTGTTTTAATATTTAGGGAATTTTATCATAGCTGTTAGTCTAACTGAATATTATGGTACACAGTATTCCAAAATTTTCAAGTATGTGTGGCCAAATTCGATTTGGGTTTCAAAACTTAAATCTAGATATGATGGCATTATTATATCTATGTCTTATATGCTAGTGAAGTGTAGTCAACTCTATAAACTAAACTGACTTTAGTAACCTAATATATTAACTGTATGGATATACCTATCTAAGAGATTGAAAATGGATGTTTGAGTTTTGCAGCTACCTTAATTGGTCCATTGTATTTGTAACTGGCATATTGATCTTGTAAAATATTAAACTTGAGACCACTAAGTAACTGACTGATAAATCTCTCAAGTACGATAACCAGTCACTTGACTAATTGATGATTAACACTTCACTCACTTGTTCGATGGTAATACTATAAAGTTTATACCAGTGTAAAACGTTCAACAATATGTAAATATCCCTAGTTTTAAAAACTAATCATTTTTCAATGGTAGATCACCTAAAATCTTATTTACTCAAATCAAAGGTGGCCAAATTAATAATGCTCAGCTTTATAAGTATATTATTAAAATTTTACAATAACTCGCTCAAAGACCTAACCAATATTATCGTGTCATTGTAGGTTCTTCCTCGTCAAACCTGTGGAATTTACACTCATACACCTCATTCCGAGGATATACGAGGCGGAATGAAACAGTTAAATGAATATATTTTCGGCGGGACACTATTTAGCACGTTTCTGTTCAATCCGGTACGTTCATTACTAATGTCATTCGATTATCTCTTTGAGATTCCATTAGTACACTATACCATACAAGTTCATATGTGTTTTAATTGCTAGTGTTGCTCGAAATCTGTTTAGCTAGTTCTGAATCAAGTTGACTAATTTGATCGATTAAATTGTTACATTACAAGGAGATAAAAAACTGTCTGGAAACTTGTAGAGCACTTTACAACTGCAGAGTAGTAATAAATTAAGTGAACTACTGGTAAATAATGAAACCAAATCTGAAAAGAAAGGAAATCAGTTTATTAACATTAATTTCTTTATATCTGACTTTAAATTTAACATATCTCATCAATTAGTCTTACTGTGGTGTGTGCTACTGATATTGATATGTATCACCAAGCAAAAGTGAAATGCATGGTGGCAGAAGGTTAAGGAGATCGAAGAGAAAAGAATGAGAACAGAGAGTGCCTGGTGTGAAAACAAAGAAACAATCAATTCTGAGACAATTGATTGGCATTTTGCAAATGAAGTGTTTACTGTATGGTTCTCAGATTTTACTAAGAAATTGTGTAATTTTGTATTCAAATACGTTTGTTTGTCCCCACTTGTGTTATCGTTCACTATATTACTACACGTGAACAATACTTGAAACGTGCTTATAAATCTCAATATGAACTGAATAGTGAGGAGATCTTTAAAAATCAACCATAAAGAGATTGATCATTGATGATTATTAAGATATGATAAACTTTATAGACAAATAACTTATATCATCCTTATAAAACTATTACCTACTAAAACATTGGGTTTAAACAACAACCAAAACAGTTGTGATCTGGTTTCAATTAAATCGGCAGTGTGTATTATACTCGTACTTTTGACAAATTTATACAGAACCAACATGTATGTCATAAAACCTATTATGCACTGTATGGTATATTAATATGCTGTCAACATTAAATATTCAGACAGAAAGCTCATATTCTAGTTATACTTCATCAATTTAATCTAATACGTATGAATAATAGTAATGAGGTGTTTTGGACACTTGTTATTCTCATCCAGATACCGTTTTTCCTTACTAATGACATTAATTATCATTGTTAGAAGTAATCAGACCAAGGTAGCACTAGTCCATGAAGTTATTTATTGTTGGTCTGACCTATCTAGAAGAATATGAACTCTGATGTAGTTTCGCGGGATGATCGTCATGTAGTTCAAACTAGACTTCAGCATAAACCCACCACCCTATTTGTTGGATGCTAATATTCTTTTAAATTTTTCTGTCACTCAATTTCATTCTTTCCGAATTATATTTTCTATACTTATTTAACTTCTACTACCGTTTATATTATCATTACTATTTGCTCACTTTCTTCCAGTCTGATGCCTATATGTTCCAGGCCCTCGGTAATTTATGAATTGGTGATAGATTAAATAACGATAAATTATAATTCCTATTAATAAAATGTTTTGTATTGTCCGATTACTTGTATTATAAATATAGTAGTATTGCATAGTATTGATCATAATACTTATTATTTATCTTTATTACTTAGGTGTCCATCTTTATGACACATCTTGTCAATTATGGAAATGACCGAGTAGCTCTTTATTTATTTAATGCTATTTTTGAATTCATGACAAATTGGACGAATATTAAGCTAATTACATCACCTCCTTCGGAATTAGCTAATATCTACTCCGAACGTTTCAAATTATACGGTGTCAATGAACTTCCTTTGTATTCAGATCCTTGTCTTAATTCACATCTTCATGAGTTATGGCCAAGTGATTGGCCATGTGGGTCAGATCATTTACCTAGTTTTATTATTATTGGACCCCAAAAACTGGTTTGTTATAAATTTACAATTGTTTAGTTTTTTCACAAGTTCTCTTTATTTCGTATATATATTTTCTGAAAATTTATTTTATCGAATTTAGTGAAATATTTTTCTCTTCAGCTACATACAAAATAAAATATTTAAATATTTCTAATTCTTAACATAATTTTTGAAAAATTCCCATATTACAAAGTACTCGGACATATATATACATATATATATATACCAGTTTTTGAAATCAAGGTTTATTGGAGGAATGAAACAAAATTATTAAGAAAATAACTACTAGTGGGTAATGATTCAGTTAATAGTTCAATTTGATGAATATAAACAAAATCTTTATTTCAATTAATTATATACCAAACAATGTTAGACCACTATTGAAAACCTAAAAGCACTGAACGACCTCTTCATCCTAGTATGGTATTCCTCAGTAGTGTGCACCCACCATCCCGCGCGCAAGAATTGAGCCTAGGACCTCCGGTCTCGTACATGGACGCCTAACCTCTAAACCACTGAGTTGATAATCCAACAATATCAGTGTTCAACTTTAAACTGTTACTGTTGGAAAATGAATTGTCAGTTATTAACAAATAATCCGTTCACAATGTGAAAGGATTCAAGCACTAAAGTTTAATAGGGCTTTTATAATTACTTGGGCTGATAGTTCTAGAATATTTAAGATAATTTTATTAATCAACATGTTATAACTGTATTGAAATTACAATTATTTGAAAAAAATTTAAAATGTTTAGTTAATTGTAGCCTATATATATGGTGCAATTTCATTTTCTTGTTTTGTTTTTGTCAAATTTTTATATAGGTTCTACAGCTCTACTACATTTTCTTTTATTAAATCCTGAATTAATGTCTAATAGATTCCAACATAATTCTACTTTTGAGGAGTTACAATTTTTCAGTTCTGATGATGTTTATTCACGTGGTGTACATTGGTATATGAACCAGTTTCCGAATAATTCAATTATATCTCCAACACATGCTTATAATTTTAACAATAATAGGTCTAATTATTTAAAAAGCTATACTGCTGAGCAAATACGATTTGAAAAATCAGCTACGTACTTTGATAATCCTAAATCTCCAGCACGAATTTATGCTTTAATGCCCAAGGTGAAATTGATTGTTCTTCTACGCAATCCAATTGAACGAGCTTATTCATGGTATCAAGTAAGCTTAAAGAATTTTTGTTATTTTATGTCAGTCTAATCCAAATCTATATGTCTACTACATACATATAGAGATTTATACATTTCTCTCACTGTTAAATTTGTCCTTAGAATTGTTCATTTTAAAATATACGTTATAATATCCAGTGATTTTCTGTGCGCTAACATTTACGCTTTTTTTACTAACTCTGTTAATCTATTTGAATAATCTTGTCTATTTACTTTTTTATTTTGAAGTATTTTAAATTTTAAGAAATACACTGTTGTTCGAGTTCCTTCTTTATCTAGTTACAACCTTGCTATGATTGATTAGTTTGCATATTTGCTATTTCTACTGATTTTCGAATTATTAGTTATCGTGTAAGAGTGAATATGAATTAGTTCAACTGAATATTACGTTTAGAGAATTTTAGGTTGATCACTTCCAAAGAGCAGCGTACTCGTAATGTAACCTAAGAGTCGTAGCCTTTACTTTAAGATTTATCAGCTCTTGATATAAATCAACACCGCGATTACTGTTTTACATTGCCATGAGTACGATTAACTTATAGTATATATCTACCAATCGTATTTCTCACTGTAAACATTACTTTTATTTATGCTTTTCCATACAGCATCGTTTAGCCCACAGAGATATTGCTCCACAGTTGTTGTCCTTCGTTGATCTGATGCAGTATGGTCATAATCTAACTGAGGCTACTCTACTTAGTATTGTACCAACTGATAGATTTTCTAACCTTTCTATCGACATTAATAATTCAAGTTTAATGCAACAACTTGTTTCAAGCATTAACCACTTATGGTCTCGATGCACTGGTCCAGGGAATTACGAACAATATTTACGTAACTGGCTGACATATTTTCCGGCCTCACAGGTACTTATTCACTTTGTCCATTTGCTAGTTTACTTTTATAAAGATGAAACATGTTTAACATCCATTTTCGTCTACTACAATTTACAAACATTATTGGGAAAAAGGCTAAACCGATTTATCCCAATTTCTTCCAAGTTAAATGGGTTTATTTTGATCACTGGATACATCAAGTAATCATTTATCTTGTTTGTATAGCGTAAAACTGCAACAAAAATGTCTCGCCGTCTGCGTATAAAGCGTTTATCATAAGGTTATATTCTGATGAGTTTTATACGTATTCTGAACAGTCTAAGTGTATTACAAACAATTTCCAATTGATAACAAAGAGTGATACACAGGCCTCCTGGTACTTCATAGCACCATATATTTATCAGATCGTGTATGAGTTATGATTCTGTAGAAAATTGAATCCACAGGTTTTGAATATGTAAAAAATCTACTGATTTAAATATCCTGTGAATTTTTCCAGGTTTACTTTTGCTTCTTTTTATACTTGTGAGAACAGCTCACGGGTGAACTCCGAGAAGCTCTATGAAGCTCAGAAACAGCCGAAGATATTCCATCCAATCATATTTTGGAAGGATACTCCAGAACCCCTTGTACTCGGATTGGATGACTATAATGATGATTTCGTTTTTACTAAAAAAAACTATAAATACCTGATAGTTTTATATCATATTTGACACTGTTTGACATAGCATTCCTTTCACTTGTCTTCTCATTTGCGACTTTGAGGGTTCTAGCGTTAGAGTGCTTAAGTTTTACGCAGTATAATAAGAATCTAACCTCCAGATATAACAATACTAAGTATCACCAAGTATATAAACCTTGATTTTTGCACCCCATCAGCGTTTAGATTTGGAGGATTCCATTCAGTGCATCATTATGTCCCTGTCACGCTAATTTATTTAACTAGTTGACTGATTTATTTATTCAATTCTTCAATAGTGTTCATTTTATTTCTATCGTTATCAACTGTTATTCTGTAGATGTCATTATTGAAAGATGTAATGTGAAAGTGGATCAGTGAAGCATTAGTTAAATCAGACAATTTTCTCTAGCCAAGGTTGTATAGTAAATGAAATACAAATTTAAACAAACTATGATGAATGGGTATTTGGTTAAATTTTATGTTACATAAGTATTTAAAAGTATCATGATATGTTCAAATAATAGCTGTAGCTAATTCAGTCGTATTTCAATAACTTGATAAAATGTAGCTTCTCTGGCTGTTTAGGTAGCATAGTGGTAGGAACCGATCACAATGGCTGAGTTTCTCCTCAAATCACACTTTAGGAGTACTGAGGAAGTTATTGGATATAATTAGAAGATTAGGAAACAGGTAAATGTACCAACAGTAATATGTTAACTTTAAAAGAACATAATAAATGAATACATTTCTGTTATCAGAATCTACAACTAATCTGAGCTATTATCGTATAACTTAAAAAAATATATGGATATTACTTTTTTTAGTTTCAATTTTATGTATATCATGTGTTGTTTCTGCAATAATTTATCCAAATATTTGACCTTTTCTTTTTTTTAACAAACTTCTTTTCAGCTCTTACTTTTAGACGCTGATAGATTTTCTCGAAACCCGGTGCCTATCATGAAGATTGTGCAGCAATTTATATTAGTTCGTAGGCAGTTAGATTATTCACAATACTTACAGTAAGTATGAAGGCATATTTCACAGATATATTTCTACGTACTTTACCTTTTATAATTTCATAATGACTCCGGTCGTCAACTGATAACAACCATTGAACTAGAGTATTGGACGACTGTTTCGTTTTAGTTAAATGGCCAATCATGAGTACACATTATTTCACACTATTTACTATACAATAGTGATTTATAGCTAATTTTATAACTAAATGCAAAAATACATGTAACGGAATAGTAGCACAATCAGTAATTTTCTCAAGTCATCATTGTGATCTTAATATTGGATGACAATATTGCTTTTGTATTTAGTGAGAATACCTTTTCTTTACATGTACCTGTATTTCAGAAAATTATACTCGTCGTCGCAAATTACTCATGGAACAAGCAGCGAAACGGTATATATCCGAACTGATATGCCCACCTTAAAATCTATGATTATTTTTTGCTATTCATTTATGCTTACTTATTTAGAAGAGTTGAATTTGATCGAAAGCTTCTCCTTAAATCATAGTGAGGTTGCTTACAGTAGATATATGGAAGATACAATTGTTATTGCTCTCAAAAAATGAAAAAAATTATAAGAGTCAATATTTTAAGTAGTTGTACTTAAAATTCTGCACGAACTTACAAAAAGATTACCACCATTCCACTATTAAGTAATTCATAACCAAAAAGATATCATAAGTCATCTACTTACAATATTAATTAAATAAATTAATATTTCACGTGTTGTAAAATTAAGTTAATCTAGAAATTGGGGAAAAAATATCAAGGAAAAAGATTTAGTTTCAATTGAATACTTTATTTTAAGGTCACTCAGTAGTACATATCTATGTCTGTAAATTTTTCTCCAGTTTTCCAACTTTTAGTATCTAGGTTGAAATTAATATTCCTGAGGACTATAAGGAATCGTACTTATGTGTATTTATTATTGTTATTTCATAGTTGGTCTTACCTCCTAAGTCATAACTTGTCATCAGGAAGCTGACTATTCTAACGTATTTTCAGTCGACTTCATACTCAGCATTGAGACGTTTGAATTCGTTTTGAGGCTGATTTTCAGCTAATATTAAACTTATTCAAAATATAACGGTAAAAAATTACCAAATAATTTATACACCAACATGGATCGTCAAAAGATGTTGGTTGATTCAGTTGTAAGAAAATTAATAAGAGCTCTAATACCAACTTAAAGTCACTGAATAACAGGTAACCATTGCAAGTCAATACGTGGAGGATGGGTTCCTATAAGACGTTCAACTGAGAGAGATCTAAGTCACTGTAGTTGGTGAGTTTCAAATATGCTAAACGTGTATTCTAAATTCACTGTTATCCATCACCAATTTCAAGCAACTATCTAATACTATTTAACTTTAAATTATTCTATATGTTAAAAGATCTATGATATGACTTCAATTAAATTAAAAAAACACAACACCTTTTTTTCTTACTATTTGTATTTAGCTTCAATCGTAAAAAAGGCTTCTTTTGTGTGGTTACTAGAAACGCATTTAATTGGAATAATGGTTGCTTGGGTCGAAGTAAAGGAAGAACCTATGAACAATTAGATCGCAATATTTTATTGCCAAACTTAATGGAATTGTATTTCTCTAAAGCTAATGATAAATTGTATAGATTATTACAAAAATATCCTCTATGGAATAGTGCATTGACATTAAATACACATAAACTCCCAACATGGATTAAAATGAGTAATTAGCTTATTAAAGTCTTTTGTCTCCTCGTTAACTGCTTGTACAAAATATTGCCATTTCTGCATTTCTTGATTAATAATAAACTTCAGAAAATTAACTTTTCTCTTTATATATATTAGTGACGCTGTATATCATTTAAAAGCGATTATTCCTCTAGATTATGGACATTAGGAAAAGCAATACAAACAAATATGATGAGTAATGTAACTACTAAATCGATTTTAACATCAATATAAAAAATTGCACTCGAAAAACTATATCACTCAGCAACACACATTTTTAATCTACGGATATATAACAGTGGAAGTAAAATGATGGTCGCTTGTGGATGTAAGATATGGGTTTTATGTGAACATATAGATCAGAGTCGTTTGCGTTACATAGAATATAAGACAAAGTTAGCAGCTTAATCTATTTTGGTCAATAGACTAATTATATTGATTTTTTTATTCATTATGTGCTGGTAACTATGGAACATGCATAAAGGGAGTTTCATATGTGTTAGTGAAAAGCCGTACATCAATTATTAGAAATATTTTATTGCACTTAGACGTTTGAACATACTTCAATGGCCCTCATGTAATTATATAAGTCAGCTCTTGAAGATCATGTCTATACAGAATTCAGGAACGACTACAGTGGCATGATGAATCTATTATCTACAACGTCCTACAATCCTAAAGATTTCAGTGTTACCCCGACCATGTGTTCTATTTCTAGTGATCTTACCGTGAAGAGCACCTGGCTATATAAATACATGCAAACAAACAAATCCATACCCAAGCTGGTTGTCAATAAAAATTACTGTTTTAAGATCTAAACGTGTGCCATTTTTGACAGAAACAAATTCGTTGTATTCCTACACTGTTTTCAGTATTCCGACCATATATACTGAAACCAGATAATTTAGTTTCATTGTAGGTCATTGTTAGTGAGTGAGATCTTCCAAACTAATAACCAAAATCACAAACGGGGATACGATACCGGTGGATTTAAGAAGACAACAAAGTCTTTATATCTTCTCATAAGTTCATTTAAACAAATAACATTCGCACTGATTTTAAAACCAACCATTTCCACAAATAATCAGAATGGGCAGAAATGAATCAAACACTTGTCGCCGTAATAGTCTATATCTACAGCTATTCAGTCACTGATCATATAGATTTTCTAATTTCCTTTCAGTCAAAAACTGCACTAGTCCTTTGGTTTGTTGAGTAGCTCTGGTTTCTTTTTGTAGTCACTCACCTGTCGTGAATGTTACGAAACTCCTCCCAATAATTAACAAGTCACTGCAAGATATTTCAAACGTACTTGTCGAACACAGTGAGACATCTTCAAATTATATCCTAATTCAGTTTATTTATGGCAGCGACTTTATGATCTTCCTACTGTGGAAAGAAGAAACTCCCCTGTGATGAACCGTAGTATATGTTTGTAGCTTAGCGATGTTTGATACCTGAAACCCAATCACAAATTTTATTCCATTTAGCATACCGTAATTCATGCAATCAAACAAGACCATTGGCTATTAAAATATCTGTTTCTTCTAAGAACTCATACGCAATTGTGGGTGTATTTGCTATGTTAGTTTACATAACCCATAAAGCGAGATGTTGCTAGTAAATCGTACCAACGTTGTGTTATTTTACCATATGAATAACCTTATGCACATATATACGTTCAATGTGGTTTTTTGGGGAATATAAATAGGCTTTGAAACAGGGAAATGTAACTAAGTGTCTAATTTTCTTTAAATAATAAGTTCATATCATAAAAAATCACTCAAAGGTTATAGGAAGACTTTAGGATAGAATCACAGAATACTTTTTATTTACAAACTTCATATTGTAAAATGTAGTCAAAAGGTAATTATCTTGATGCTTCACATAAATTTCATCTAATAGACAGAGAGTCGTTCCAAATTCCTATCAAGTGCTGGATTCACTCACTACAGTCGGTAAGCTTGATTTAAGATGTGAGCTCTGGGATGTTTTTAATGAATTATTTCCATCCAGACAGCTGTATTCATTACTACCAGCCGTTGGGTCAAGTTGTCTATTTGAATGTTTGGAAGAGTGATCTAGCTTCCCAGAACCCGGTACCAAAGAGATTGTCAGTTTTAAGGGTGATCGATGATGATTAACTGTTCCGTTAGAATATTTGCATTCCAGTTGGTCAGATGAGGTTGCTGAGTTCTTGTACGAGATCACGTCTCCCGAAGATGACTCCAAAAAATTCTCCTCGGTTTCGGTATCATCATCTTCTAAACGTTGTTGTTCTGCTATGCGCCTAAAAGTACAAAAATACTTTATTTCTTAATTATTAACTCTTGTATTCGAGTTTAAGTTGATGATATAACACCACTGCCCTGACCAATATAAGTAGCGGTTTTTGTTTCTTATAATGGTAGAGTGGAAATACGGGTCCCCAAATACCTATAATTATTGTCAGTGCATTCGCACTTTAGGTTTTACCAGTACGGAATATTGTGTGACACCCCAAATGTAAACCATCTATAATTTTGAAAGATATAACTACTACACTTAATATGTTCACACTTGAGAATAGTATTTCTCCCAACTCCATATTACTTTCGACATCCTCAAATACCACTTTATTCCATGCATATAAAAAATAATAACTGACATCTTAAACGTAAGGGAAATCCACATTGAGTTTGCCACAAATTCTATTTAGATCCAAAGTTACACTAAGAATAAAATTAGGACTATTAAGCGTGCAACGGTGGTGTGAGGTACGACTGCACATGCTATCTGTCAATCTAAACAGTTCGAGGTTTCGGTTCTAAAATCTATTGTCAGCAAAGAACCTGGCAATACTGCAAGAAATGAATTACACTAATATTTTGGGTGACGTTTCGAAAGGGAGACAATAATTTGTTGGTTTGTCTCAATAAACTTTATTACGGTAGACTTCATAACAGAAACAAAGATACGAATGATTGACCCATGAAAGTAACCTTAGCAAGAACAAAGTTTCAATAAAACATCAATACAGAAGTGTCCCACTTACTTGTTGGCTCTTCTTGAACTGTTTCTTCCTAATCCCATACAATTAGATAAATGGACAGCATAACGTGTAGCAGCAACCTTACAATTACACTTCCCACATCGACAGCAACTAGCAGTTTTGCTAGGGTCTCTGCCAGAGCCTGAATTCGAAGAACCATTGCCAAGATTATCCGATAAGTTTGTATTTTGTTCAGGAGCAATAATATGGAAATATCCTAATTTTATTGCACGATGCATCGTTAGAATCCCATCCATCAAACATGAGTCAACTAACTCATCAATAAATTCTTGCAGAATATCCTCAAGATCACTATGTGTTACAGCAAAGGGCTTTTGCATTTATGTCGTATTAATGTAGGTGTAAACTTCAGGACCGCTACTTGGTAAATAAAAAACGGAAATGTATTTTCTCTTAACGAGGTATATGTATTCATGTATCTATATTCAGTGAAGAAATACAAGTTGGTGAGTCCTTATGAAAGCAAACAGTATAACAAGGCCTCAACAATCTTAGAAGTACAAGACTATAAAGATGATGGGTTATAAACTGAGTTATCACTTTTACAAGGACAAAAACTATTATATACCTCATTATAGTAAGTATTGGTTTAGCCTGTATGTTCACTGATAATGATAAAATGCGAATAAAAACCATTTGAGTCAGGTGATAACAATCTAAACGCCGAGAAAGCAATCAAATAAAGGAGCGAAAAGCGCACATGTAAAACTTATGCTAGCATAACATTTCCTTTAGATCCTATGCACATGGTGTACCTAGGTGTCACCAAAAAGCTAGCTAATCTTTGGGTAGAATTCTCACATAGAAGATTGCTTAACTTGAACTCATGTGGAATTAGGGATATAAATAATTTAATATCTGGTTGCGTGACAAGTAATCCCTCCGACTTTCAGCGTAAATGCCGTACACTGGACTTTGCATCGGTATGGAAAACTTCTGAATGTAGGTTGTTCCTTCTATATTTAGGCCCAGTGATTCTGCAAAAAACATTGCCCCAACCTTTGTATCTTAGTTTCCGGCGTTTAGCGTTATCCATTTATCTGATTGCACATCCTAAATTACATGATACAGTTGTAGAATCTGTCAAAATGGACTTAAGAAACTTTCTTAAGGAATACGAATGGTGTTATGGGTCTGAAAACTTAGTTTACAATGTGGATTTGTTACAGCACCTTCCTGACGAATTTCGTGCACATGGGCCTTTAGATAGATTTTCAGGCTTTCCATTCGAGTCTTATATGAGACAAATAAAAAAATCTGTGCATAATGGGTATGCTGTTACAAAGCAAGCAGCTCAGCGTTATGCTGAGAAAATGTCCTTCTGCGATAGGCTTCAAGTTAGCCGTTTAACTAATACTACCCCAATAGCCGCTAAGGAGGTCTGCAATAAACAATTATGTTTAAGAATAGTAAACTAACTTCATTTAAGTCTGATAGTGTTGTAGTAGTAAACGAACAGCCTGGTTTAGTCACTGATATAGGGGAGGATGAACTACTAAAATTTAGGTCTTTCACTGATCCACGCAATTACTCTGAAGGTCCTTTCCCATCCGGTGATATAGGAATATTTATGTGCTCCGTAGTTAGCCATGAACACACATGGGTATCAGTTAAGGACATTGACTGTAAATGACTTGAGTATAAATGTAAAGCTGCTACTAGCGAAGTTCAGTGAACGCGAACATCAGCATCAATTCGACTGCGGACTATCAAGTCAGCAGTTCCCTTTGTCATCTGAAGGGGAACTGCAGATTCTGGACATCGGTTTGCAGCAGAAAGAAACCAGGGACAGATTTGTAAGTCAACAACATTAATTTTATAATTTGTTCGTATCACAGATGGCCATGGTAACGAGGTTAATAGATAATGATCCTAAAACCTCAGTGAGATATGTTTTGTCGTACCTCATGACACCTGAGGTTGCCAGTAATTTCACGCTACTTGGCACTTC